TTCTTTTGCTTAAAATATCGATTAAAAGCTTCAATTTAGAAAAGTTTAAAATAAAATAAAACTTTTTGTATGCACATTTTGACAATTTTATATGTTTCGACACTGACTCAGTAATCCCTAGTACCTTCAGTATAAGTAAAATTTATTATGATTTGAATGAAATTATTATTAATACATTTTTCAAATTCATGGTTTTATGGTTTTCATTTTCCTATATTTTTGTTTTTCTGTTTTCACTTACTGCCGCTGTTGGTAAATTGTCAGATTCATTTTTGTGTTCATTGTAAATTTTAATATAGACGTAATGAATTGCAAGAAGTGATTCTACTGTTTGGATATTACCTTAGCTACTTTGCACTGTATTTATAAATTAACGTTTCTTGCAGTATAACGGCAGAAGCAAAAAATATCAGGTCGAGTTTGTTAAATTAGTAAAGCTTCAAGCTTTACCACGACGTTAAGATACAAACCGAAGTTTCTGTATTATGTCGTCCTTGTATCGGGCTTTAAGTTTGGAGTTCAAAAGTGTGTGCTTTTGTAATCAAGTACCTGAAAATGTTTTAGAGTAGCAACCAAGCTGACGAAGTTTTTCTACGGCTGGTAAGTTTTAACAAAAGACGTCACGAGCAGTGAATTTTGAACGTGTTTTAAACTGTCCAGCGAAGGCACATGTTTAATAACAGTAAGGGATTAATCTGACATACTCCTGTAGATGTAACAGTTCCAGTGGTGGTAATTGAAGAAATGCATTAAGTATTTAAGTAACTTGAGGAACATGATTCAGGCCAGTTCGAAAATTAAAACCCTGTTTAATAATAGATGATTTAAAACAAACGGGATGTCTCTTTTTCCAGAATTTCTAGTATCTATCCAAATTGTCATATTTTTCCCCACTAAAGAGTTGATAACGTCATCTCTAAATTGTAAGAAAATGTTGAAACATATACGTATGCGTTTTTATCAGTAGCTTAAGAATTCACCCTTATATTTATTTTCACTTTAAGGGCTTATCATTACAAAAAAAATAAATAAATTTCTCCGAGTCAAATTTTAAATTTATCTAAAAAACTAGGTTTGTTTAATTTTTGTGCTTCAGGACGAATGAAGTTTTATCTAAACAAGTTTAGGCTACTTTTTTTGTAATAACATTTACAGTTTTATTAATAGGTATTAACATACCTAGGAATGTTATGGCTTTTATTACAGCCGCAGATATCAAGTTGAAATCCGAGCTCGTAGAACGAGGATTTTAAGACATCTAAGGCTGTTATGGGCCATAACATCCGTGGTCTGTTCCATAGTTTATCGTTTTTAGGTGACCAGCTTCCAATTTTGTGAATTTACCTTCTTAAAAAATAAAAAATTCTGCCATTTTTAGAAGAGTATTTTTTATCATCACAGTTAGTTGAAAATAATAAATGAGAGTTATTGAAGATGATGAAAAAATTATCCTGCGATAATTCCTTTCTATAAATTCAGGTCTTTTGGGCTTCTACAGATGTGCACGTTGATTTCAAAAATTTAAGAAAAATGTATATAATAAATATTCCATATTTTTGTCGTTGAGTGTACTTTTAAAACAAAGTTTAGATCCACATTTGGTAGTTTAACAGTTTTGTCGATTTCAAGCTTTAACATAGTTCAACTGAATAGGTTATATAACTACAATGAGTTGAAGGCGTTGTTAAAGAATCTGATTTTACCAAAATGATGAAATTTCATATTCATATTTCGAAAGTAATTTCAAGCTGTACATCTTGGGTCTCGTTTTCCAAACTATCCAGGAGCGTCAAAAATTCTGAATGTGCTGACAAATTCACATTAGCTGGTGCCAATAAAAGAGGACTAGATTCGCATCGGGTAGCACTGGCGTTACTGTACAGTTCTTTGTACTCAATGCGTGGGTTGTTCTATTATAAGAAAATTTTAGGTTTGTTGGTCGTACATCAGCTGATCCTTCACGCAATACGCTCATCACCCACCTCTCGGATCTCTTAAAATCTTAAGTGCAGAAAACTCAGTTTATTTATTGCCAATAACTTTGAAACGTTTCGGGTCCTACCGAATGGGGGAGTAGAAGTTTCCACAGTTTGCGAAAATGGACTTCTGAATTTATCTATCACCGATTTTTCTATTCAGGTTTTACTGAGATTAATAGACACGAGCCGGGAAATAAAAAATGCATTGGAACGTATTCAGCATCGATTAACAGACTGCTAAATAACACATACGCATTTTGTACGATCAATTAAACCAATATACTGCCAAATATTGGATGAAGTGGTGGCGTAACATGTAATTTCCCGTATGGACGTCGGTTCATCACACATTCGAAAAAAATTCGAAATTCGTACCAAGATTTTACCCTTCATTTTTAAGTGTCATTAAAACTCAAATTAAAATAAATTTCTGTTTTTACAATCTTAGGTTAGTTTCTGTTGACCCTACATTAATTGATTTTCTTCGTAACTCAAAGAAAAGTCACCTATTGTAACCAGTTTTCGTTTCCGTGATAAAGAGGACTATTGATTTTTACTAGCTATTTTCTTCTACAGTATCTACATAAAAACAAAACACTAGTTATTGATTTTAACGAGTGAAAAAGTCGAACATATGTACTATATAAAAATCTAGCGAAAATATATATTAAAATTTGGTTTAATGAAAATGTCAATTTTAATATCTGCACCTGCAATAACATGTCAATTTATAAATAAATGAACTTATCTGTCGCAGACACTTGTAGAGAAAGTATATGATAAACCAAAAGATTCAATAATACGAAACAACATAACTGTTATCAAACAACTTTACAACTTTTCTAATTTCGAAGTTGGATAGTTCAATCTTCTAATTTTTTTTGGAATAGGCGGAAGGCAGTGCAACAGGCGATGAATTATGTTTGGCAATAAAGTAGTAAACTTTTTAAATGGGGTTAGCTACTTCTGAAGTTCATTAACTTTATCTTGTTTTAATTAAAAAGAAAATTTTGTTCAGAGTACTTAATAAGAATTTTTTGTATAATTAAACTCAAAATCTAAAAAAAATCCACGATTTTAATTAATATTTAACTATTAATCAGTTAATATGTAGATAACTTTGTTATGATAAAAGAAAAAACTCTCAAAACAGGGATCACCTCGATCTTCTACATAATTTAAAATTAATTTGTTATTTTTATGATTCACACTTAATTTCGGCAAGTTTGTAATGTAAAATATGCATCCATGTAGATTTTTGGAAAAATAGTCAAATTTGACCACGATATTGACAAAAATAACATAATAATTTAGGTACTTAAAATTTACACGCTCATTTTTGTGTTTTGAAGATATTTCATTCAAAAATGAATGTGTTCTTTAAAAATTTAAGCATTTAGTTTAGTTAAAGAAATAATCATAATAATAGAAGATCTACAGTTATCGGTTCCGATTATCCAACTAATAAGCTGCAAATAAATATAACAAATAAATGATAAAAAGTTGGAAACGGACAATTTGGTTTTTCGTATTCTACAGTCTTGTACTGACAAAGTACATAAAATTGGCATTCGTTGAAACGACTCTATTATAGTACTTCCCTTAGCTATCGTGTGGGAAGTAAAAAGTAAAAATAATCACGTCGTAACAGGGACAGTAAAAAATTTTCAGAACTGTTATAAAAAAGTCCGTGTGAAAAGCTGGCATGCAGGACTTACTAAATAGCAGTGTAAAAAAGAAAAGAGAAATACGATGTTAATTTCGAATGGCTTAATAAAAATAAACAGGTTTGTTTGAGAATGGGCTCACAATACCGACGCTGATAAAACACAAAGCGAGCTCAACTGAATTATATAGTCCGATCAAGGTTACATTTTCCTGCAAGATAATTTATGACGAATTTTTCATGTAAATACTATATTAAGATAAGTGGGTTTAGAGACACCTTCAATGGGTATTTGGGGTAGCGATGTCGTCGCTTACACCTAAATTTGCACCACGAATGCTTATGATTTATCGCAGCGGTAAAGGCAGATAGAACAGAAAGAAAATAAATCTCTATTTTGTTGATCTGACACTTGCTCTATTTCTGGAGGCTTATTGTTTTAAAAATTCTTTCATTTGATGTGGTGTTTTGCATAAACATAATTTCTTGTGCGGTTGCACTCGAAACGATTACAAATAATGATTGTTTGCGCTGGGATTTCTAACAGTTCCGGGTTCCGTGAAGATCAGTTCAAACCAACTTACCGTGAAGTAGTAAAGGAGTCGAAGGTGGGCGTGGCGAATATCATATTTATCCGAAATTTCAAGCATGTCTGTATTTATCCTTCGAGTCATTTCCTCCTGGAGCTTTTAACGATCTGCCGAAAATTCGTCATTGTCTGAATGCATTAGAGTTAACAGCATTTACCTAAACGGATAATTTAACGAAATGGCGACGGTTCACTCTGAATTTTAATTGAACTAATGGGGATCGCCACCATTTCCTGCAAGCACGCTGGTGCAAATCCTGCGAGCGACAATGCAAGACAATAAACACTCATTGGAATACCTGGACTTGAGAACGGCTCAAGGGAGCTTGACTGAAGGGGAGTTTCGAGTAAATTGCGAAGAAAATTATCTTTCAGACTCTTGCAGATCCCCATTTTGATAGAGCTTTGTTCGTGTTAATTGATCGCAACGAAAAATATTTAAGATATCCTCAAGTTCGTCCTTGCCATTACGATTGTATTTGGGGCAAGCAGCAAACGTGGTCGACTGCATGGAATCTGGCGTTTTGGGTCAGACAGGGACGGCTTGAAGGTAGAATGTGCCTTCATCGATCCGGACCTGTCCAATTTTGGTGGAATGGCACCGGACTTTTAAATATTTTATGAAAATAGTATTTGTAGATGTTTCTTGTGCCGGAGGGCGGTACCCACACGGTTGCTATGTGTTGCTCCGGATCGAACGGCGTTCGTTCAACTTCGTGGAGCTTTCGTGGGAGCTTTGGGTTCGGCCAGTTAGATGCACATCGGCTCGTAGAATACGACTTTATAGACTGATCAAGTGATATACTATTGTGTATGGTGTCATTGTACATAAATCTACACAATAACACAAAAAGTATTATTCGTAGACGACTTCGACGTAACGAAAATTCATTATCGGTTCCTGTCACTTATCTCTTATTTTCCGGACAGAAAATTTCGATACTGAATGTTTCACTGATGAGTGAAAGTGAAATGTTATGAACTTACTTGAGTGATAATTGTTGCTGTCCGACAATGTGTATACGCGCATTTTAAAAACAGAAATCAATTGTGCTTTTCCTGTAATGAATGAAATATGAATGGACTATGTGTTTGATTTAAAGAGAAAGTGTCTGCGTATATGTGATGCTACTGGAACATTAACACAAATGTAAATATTTTGAAACGTGACTAAAATAATCTGTGTAAAAATGGTGATTCCTGGGATACTCTTTCTCAGGTGAGTATTTACCAAAACTTATTAGTACTTAACGCAGACTTATTATTATTAAAGTTTTCGTAACCAATCGTGTTTCATCATTTTTAGTTATAAATAAGACTTGAACAACAGTGATTCATTATTTCAACAATATTCAAGACTTATCAGTTGTAAAATACTACTACTAACCTCTTATTGCGCATCAGATCAAAATATGTAGTACAACAAACAAAAACATTCAGCTATTAAAATTTTTAAGGCAACAAAATCAATTTTCTTTTAATATTTAGTTCTGGTTTTAATTAAATATTAAATCGTTATTTCATTCATTCTGTGTTCTCATTGACTTATTGTGTTATTGAACGGTATAGGATGATTCAAACCGTGAAAATCTGTGTACTTAAAGGTCACTAGTGTGCCTTCACCTAAAACAGTTTTTTTTATTTATGTAAGTTTCATTGAATAATTTTTATTTAAGCACCTAGAGGAATGCTTTTACAGAGCGCATTTTTTGTTGCAAGTTTCTTTATATCAAAATATTTAGTAAATTTGTGTAGACTTACTTCGTATTTCGAACAAGGAGTTTTATTGTATTATATATTGACACAGTTAAAAACAAAAAAATCATTATAGGTGTTTACCCCACGCTGCAGACATTTTTATAATAATTTTGTAATTTTGAAAATCACTTAAAAAAATCAGAAAAATATTTCTTTCTAAATAACTTCTATTTTATCTAATAACATTATATGATTAATAAAAACAATTACAACGTCTATGAAACCAGTGGTATAATCTAAATTAATAATAAAAAAATAACAATATTTTTATAATGTGTGTGAATTTACTTTTAAACCAGTTAAATTAATTGCTGTAGTACTGATTTCAAAATCGTATGATTCCAACCTTAGTTAGCGCAGAAAAAAAAAATTAAGACTAATTTACACGAAGCTTCACGCGCCCCCAAAATACAATTGACTACAAGCATTCTTCAAAAAAAAAAATCACAACGGGGTCAACTTTTTGTTGAGATAAGTTTATTAAATGTGATACCTACAATGTAAAATTGATCGTCACGTTACGGTGTTTTAATAAACCGAAGAACATTATTGTGTCGAAATGTCTACACAACAATTTTAAAAGTTGAGATAAAATTAGAGCAAAATATTATCTTCTAGAAATTTAATAATTTTTGTAATAACGTCGTGAACTTTCTTTAAGGAGGAAGAAAAAACTGATTTATATTTAATGCTTTTGTGACAATCTATCGTTTAAAGAAGTATGTTTGTGTTGACGTCATCAATTTTTTGGAGCGATGAGGTTTCCACGATAATATGAGGACATTTGTATTCTATAAATTTCTCTAAACTATTAAGAAAAAGTGAATTTAGATACTTATTGAAATGTTTATTTCTTTAGCTTAGGTGGAAAAGGAAAAATTAAAGAACATTAATTAGAACCAAGAACAATATCGCATTGTTTATTAAAGATTTTTTTTTAATTTATTCGAGATGACGCAATTAGTGCATATAAATGTAACGTTAGTTATAACGTCACTGTCGTGCCAAAAGTTAAACAAGTTAGATGGCTTGCTTTAGAGAAACTGAATATATAAATTGGTCATGCATCATTTAATGCATCTGTTTCCACAACTTTAAAATTATTAAAAATATAAATAAGGGAAAAACCACGTGTCAAAATATTTTTATTACTAATTTTGCGATGACATTAGCCATTTTTTTAATTTTGTATTTTATGTTAATATTAATTTATAACACTGAGAACACCATTACTGTGTCTTCGAATGTCAGTAAATATAAATAGTTCTGAATTTTTAATAATGGAATCAGGTCGTTAGTGAATAGTTTTATTCGTGATTTTTTTAGACAGTCTGTAGGGGTTATTTTGGAAAATAATAACATATCAAAACCACATTGTAACCTGAGGACTATCTTTTGATTAACACTTAATTAATAATTTACATGATTAAACAAATCTTAGTCGATTGAGTCAATGTTAGGCTTTATCAAAATTCCACAGTAAGCATAAAAAATATATGAAAGTTAGTAATTCGATCTAAAGGGAAATTCTAGCTTATAAATTTACTTAACAAAATTCTGAAAACACATCATCAATTTTTTCAATAAGTTAGTTGGTTAGTGTTTTTTTCAAAAATTATGTGTCTAACAAAAATGTGAAAAATGTGAACATATATACTTATCTATGAAAGAGAGACTGAAATGGGGGACTGATATTTTTGTATTCTAAAATTATACAAAATAACTCACATTACTTTCCTTCGCATAAAACATAAAAAAAAACGCCAAAAAAGTTAAAATGTAGGGTAGGAGTTTTTTGTGTTCGGATTTAAGTAAAAATCTTGTAAATGGGGCAAATTAACGGGAGCTCACCATTATTCAAAACAAACTTTCGGTTTTTTGAATTTTGAAAAAATATTTGCTGGAATTTGTGTCTTATAAATTAAATGGTCATAAAATAAGCTTCTTAAAAGGAGCGTTTGCAGAAATTATATAACTTACTAAAGGTAAATTATCAAAAGTGGGTGAAATAATAAAATAAATTAATTAAAACAGTCAAGCTGAATCACTTTGAATATTAATTTTTAATTTCCAAGCGTAAGCTAAGGAAGTATTGTAATTGAGTCCATGGGGTGATTGGCTGCTTTTAAATTTTCTCGGTGGGTCATGACCTCTAGACTACGAAAAAATATGTCTTCCGTCTTTCTGTGGGTCCCCCGTCTATTTCAATTTTTGTTAGACAGATAGTCACCGAAACTATCCCACCGATTGTTGTCCAATTTATATGAATATCAATATCATGTAAACGTCAAACCACTGATCAAACTTTGTCTAATCATCCCTACCAACAATGCGATAACGTCACCTCAAAATTGTACATAGTAATTGGGTTTTAAATTAAAAAAAAAACAACATAGTCCTACACGTGTAGTTTATTAATCTATGTTTACTTTTTACTCGAAACGTTCAGAATTAGCAATTTGAAATCTTGCAGATATTTTAAAGTTATTATAATCATGATAATTTTTTAATCAAAATAGATTTGCTTATCCCTCTCAAAAAATTGATGACGTCTTCTCAAAATTTTGTCGAATAAATCCTATCTAAAATGTGCAAAATATGATCGGTCTATACTTGTGTTTTATCATTGCATTTATATTTTTAGATTTGCTTATACAGAGTGACTCAAAACAATTAATTGATGAGTCAATTTATTTTATTAAATACATAAATCAGAAACTGCAAAACCGAATGGTTTGAAATTCTGGAGACTTTTTAAAGTTATTTTAAGCATGGTAAACAAAATATTTCTGTTTACTCCCCCCAAAAAATTGATGAGGTTATATAAAAATTTTGCCGAATAAGTCCTACCTAAAATGTGCAAAATATGATGAGTTTTTCTTGTGATTTTTAATTTGATATTCATAACATACACCTAAAATTTGTCAACAGTGTCGGTCTAATCGTTTCGGAGATCTGTCTGCTAATAATCGACCGACAGACAGACAGATAGGAAGACAGAAATGGGAGACTTAAGGAATCGAGACAGCATGAAAGTAGCCATTCGTCCGATATTTATTTACTTATTTATTTGCTAGAAAACAGGGAGTAGAGAACTATTCAAAATATAAGAAATATAATAAAAATGCGATAAAACCAGATATAAGGTAACACGGCATATATATACGTACATTACGTCTCATTAGTAGCATTTCTTGAATATATAGCGACGCAGATCTCGTTTATAGAATTGTAAAAAAGTTAAGCATGATTGCGATAAAAAAAACATGGAAGGTTATTCAGAAATGAAAAAAAAAACATAATTAATATACAGACTTTTTAAAAAGAGTATATATAATAGAAACAAAAGCTGAATATATAACATATGTTATTTTATTAGAGAAGGATTGAATGAAAGTACTGAAACAATAAAAAAGAAAACACTTTTGAAGAAGGAGGTTTTTACATGATGATTTATGCCATCCTATTTCCTCAAGTTATTCAAGAAGTGATATTGATAGTTTATTAAATAGTATGCAATGTATTATAATTTCGAATGACGAATTAGATATATTCCTTTGTATATTTTCTGTTCATGCCTAGGGATGCTCGTTATGGTGTAAGGGTAAGGTTTCAAATTTCATAGAAAACTCCAGAGAATAATATAATGAAGTGTATTTAACTCTAAATAATACTGTAAACATAGGAAGGGTGTTAAAATAATATTCAAATAAAACTTGTTGACACTTTTCAATCTAATTTAATTCAGGATCTGACAAAATATAACCACATATTTATATAAGAATGGAAGTTGCTTCGAAATAATCAAGAGTACGGCAGATTTCCTTGAAAATAAGTAAATAGAGAGTGGTGTATATACAATTCATTATAAAATATTGGAACACAGAGGGAATTTGAATCATTACGAAAAATAATTGTTTTAATCTCAAAATTACCTCGTGAAGATACAAAAACCAATTACATTATCAACAAAATCGAAAAATGCAGGTCAAAGGAACATGAACATACGAATCCAGTGAAGTTTTATGAGTGAAGCTTTTTAATCGATACGATAACTGAAATACTAGAAATATATTACTTAAAAAAAAATACAAACATTTTTGAGTTCATGTTATTCAAAATTATTTAATTAAGACTAACTATTTCTTATAGATTTTGACTTGAAATGAACAATACAGCCTTTTAGATGCTGCAATTATTTTATTTATTTAGAATTTATTTAAAAAAAAAGTCGAATTTTATGGTGCAAAAATTCGTTTTTGTTGTTTTTGTTATAGTATAGACAGTTGAAAGCAAAAAATCACGTGAATCGCAATATTTATGTTTGTATTGATTTTATGTGCCACTTTAATAAATATTTATATACTTGATTTAAGGCTTTTTCAAAGTCGCAGCGACTGGTTTGTTCACAAATAATGTTTTTTATTAGTGGTAATAATCTCTAAAACATTTTCATCAGAATGTTGTTCTACGATCTTTAACTTATTAATATTTTTTTAACGTAGTATTTGATAATATTATTAATACTTGATAGTTTGATCAATACTACGAAAAACTGGGATATAATTATTAGCTGGAACCACGGTGTATAATAAGTTAGGTGTTACGACGAAGCGTATTCACCGTGCATCGACTTGACGCCGGTTTAGTCACGATGAGCGGTCGAGAGAGACAGACAGCGGCGGCCTGTAACCTCTCACTTAGATCTGTTTAGCAGCGTTTGGCGGGCTTTTTCCCTCTCTAGGTGTGACAGATTTTGCTAGGTTTTCTATGCGATTTCTTACTTGTTTTTTGATTTATCAATAAAAATGGGTAAAAAATGTGTTGTGCCTAATTGTTCTAGCGAATACAATAGTAATCCCGAAAAAGTGTCGGTGTTTCGGGTACCTAAAGACAGATTACTGGAATGGCACTTTTATTGCAGTAGTGAACTGCTGCTTTTGAACAACACTTTGCACTAAAAAATACTGGTCGTCGCTATAGTAATAGTAGGCATTTTATGTTGAATTTTATTTTTACTTAAAACAATAACTTCCTTTTTATCGGTTATGTGTTATGTTTAACATTCAAGGAACAGCATTTATGTTTATTTTCAGAGGGTTTTTGAATGCGATATGTATTTTTTCTTTATTCCACATAAACTATATTTATTGCAGAGATTTTTCGGCACAATTCGACAAGCAGGTTGTGCCAATGGACATCCCTTATCTACAACTCTTTGCAGCTATACCGAATGTTATCGGTTTATAAATTATTAAAACCTCCGAAATTTGGTAATTGCACACAGATGCAGGAAAATAGTATGCAAATCATTCGTTATCATTTAATTACTCCAAAAATATTTTTGAAACAAATACCAGAATGCGGGAAAAATCATGTTGAGAAAATAAAAAGGAAAATTAATAGATATTTACGATATGTGTATCGTAATGTGGAATTTTACGATACGCGATGGAAAAATTGTCCAACGAGCCGAAGGCGAGTTGGATAATCCATCAAGGATCGTAAAGAAATATTACGATACAAATATTGTACAACGTTTTATCTAATCTGTTTTTGTAATTTTTTAAATTGTGTTTATGGAGAAAAAATAAGGCGGCTAAATTAGTAACCGTAGTTACTGATTTGTTTACGTTTTTCACAAGCGTTCAGTGAAAGCAATTTATGTGCAAAAATTAGTGATTCAGAGGATAATTTGCCTTCCGATATTGAAGTGGCTACTCAATCTGTCATCGATACGTTAGTTCCTGGTAAATCTAAAGAACGTTACGAGATAGCGTACAATTATTTTGATGAATGAATGGAAGTTAAGAAAATTGGTGACGTTTCTGAACAAGGTGATGCATTCCTATTTTGCTGAACAAGCAGAGAAGTTAAAACCATCCTCCTTATGGTGCCGATATTCCATGTTGCGAACCCTGGTGTTGATTACGAAGAATGTTGATATTTCTGAATATCATCAGGTTGTGGCTTTCTTCTCGGAAATCAGAAGGTTCCCGACCCAGAAAATCGTTTATTTGTTCCAAAGAAGAGATAAATCAATTTCTTAAGAAAATGAATGATAAGGATTTCTTATTTTTGAAGGTAAATTGCAACTCATATTGATAAAAAACAATCTCAAATTTATATAGTTTCAGGTTGTTTTGATAGTCGGAGTGTTTGGTGCTTGTCGACACGAGGAGATCACAAATTTTACGACACGAGACGTTAGAGCCGAAAAAGAATTTAGATACAGATTCACCGATTAACAAAATAGACGAACAACTATTTGAAGATGTCACTACAACTAAAATTGTTGACATCATTTATTACTTAGCTGGATTTGTCGCAAAAAATTGTACAATACTTCAAAATGTAATATTTGCCGTGAACAGTTAAATATATAACAAAGAGGATCCATGTTCTAGTACATCTGAATTTACTAGTACAAAATCCAGGGGGTGGTTAAACCATCCAGATTTGTTAATGTTTAATATGTTCCGATGGTGGAAGGGATACTTATGAAATATATCTATTTTGTGGATGTATTCGATGCAACAATTGAAGAGCTATTCGTAACAAAAATTTTTATGACTATTTACTTTCCTTTTTCTTGTGAAGAGCATAGAATGGAAATATTTTCAAAGGCAATATATTTTTACACAATTATGCAAATTAAACAATTTTATAAACAGGAACAAGAGAAAACAACCAAGGCATGTGCAGAAAAAAGAAAAGAGTCTCGATTACAGACTACGTAATAATGGTAAATTTTTATTTCTCAAACAGTAAAGCAGATATTGGTTAATGGATATTTTTTAGTTGTCTTGTGAAACGAACAGAAGTGAGTGAAACTAATATAATATGTGAAGACGAAAAGAACTATCTTTAACAACGAGTTTACATTCATCTTTTTAAATAAATTATTATTTTAAAAATGTTTAAAGTTTTTATTTTAATACAACGGATAATTCATTTTGATGATTTTTGGACCTAAATGGCTTTAATTCCGACAAATACTTCTGCCGTCTCTTTCCCGTCAGTGCGATTAAATGATGGCCGCCCTCTTCTGTTTCTCTCACTCCAAATCTGTGACTAGTTGGGGACACGTTTCACGCGCTCGTCGGAACACCTAACTTATTATACACCGTGGCTGGAACAGGCATTTATGAAATCTGATGGGGACGGCTATCAGCTATGCATGAGTCGTGTTCCAATTCTAGTGCTGATAGGATTCAATTTGTATCGATTTGAAACTTATCTATATGGATCCAAAAGCACAAACTTAAAATTTATGAAGTTCTCGCCATATAAATGCGGAATGCGTTTACATAAGATAAGTACTCACAAGAGTTTGATTACATAATGTGTTAGACAAACAAACACTATAACGGTGTTATTTTGAGTCGCAAATATTTTCTCATTTGTTTTAGACATGAAGTTAGTAAATTAATGTCTTTTATTTTATATTAAGTAACGACATATAAATAGCAAACCAAGAGAGTGTCCTCCCACTGCTGTAACCGTAATAACGTCCTAGATCCCATATTCGAACTACGAAGAAAACTCAAATAAAAACAAACTGAGATTATTAAAGGCCGTTGACTTTTCTTGTTTATCTAGAATTCTAGAATCAATATCATTCAGAAGATAGGTATTTGTCCGTATTTTAAAACGTACTGTTTGCCAAATAGAGTCTGATAGTATTTTCAAATTTTATGCTACGAATTCATTCCTGGAAAATTAACATTCTAAGATTCTTATTTTTAAAAGCACAATTTGTTAAGAATGTTTTCACAACATTTATCCTTGGCATAGAACGGGCGACCATTTTAATCTTGCAAAACATCTTGGTATGTTACTCTTTTAGACTGAGAAAATTGCCAGATTAAAATCTCGACCTTCATTCGAACAGCCGGATTAAAGGCACTCATTTTATGGTATATGTATATTTATTTTTTAGTGCAAGCTTGCAAGCCTACAGTTTTGTAGTTTAAAGCTAAAAATAGCACGTTTAATGATAAAATTCTGACCATCCTCACTATCAAAGCTTTACATCACATATGTTCGATTTCTACTTGCTCGTGTGTTGTTTTCAGTTTACCAAAGATATGAGAATTCCTGAAAATAGAGTGAGGAGCAAAAACCAGCCGATGTTGCCACGTTGTCGTTAAAAACTGCAACATCATGACTGTATTGCGCCAGTTAGAGACTGTAGTAACTTTTAATTTACAATAATTGGCAAAGCTGACTCATTTATATGAACTGAAAACGTCAAAATTTCAGGAGGAAGCTTTTTCGAGTTGGTGTTGAACAATTCATGCACGTTGTGACTATTTTTAAAACCAGTTAACCTATTTTTATCACATTTCCTCTTTAAAAATTTGGTTCTAAAATGGAAAAATAATCTTCAGTTGATTCTTTTATATGTTTGTAAATGAACACCGTTTGTTTAGCTTGACCTACAAAACTAACTTAACCAGTTTTAGAACATTAATGATGATACATACCGACTTGATGTTTTTTGGGTTACGGTTAATACCTAAGATATTTCAACGTATTTTTTTTTTATTTTTTAAGTTGGTTTGTGAGGTTCGAAAATCTAAATAACTGCAACACGCTTGTAAAATACTGTTTAAACAAAAATAGATTTTAATTATAAATATATCCAACTAACTGGTTTAGAAATTATAGATAGCTCTATGTTATCTCTTTCAGATAGAAGTATATGAAAAATAATCTTTTTAACACCTGTTTTATTAACAGGCTCAAATGAAATCCGTTTATCTTATCAAAATAAAGCGGGAGTCTATGAGATCTGAGTGTGAATTGCACTTTATGATGATTTTTGTTGTAGAAAAATCATGCAGATTTCATGACCGTTTATGCATTGTATAAACTCGTGAAAAACCCTCGCTTACTTCGAAGCTGTTTGTGTCGTTTTATTAATTTTTTATAGCTACATAAAGTTTATTTTGCCACTTTTTATGTTGTTCAGGTTTGATATTCATGCCATGATAAGGAGAACTTTTCGGAAGAAAATTACATAAAATCTTTTCCAATATCTCAACGAAAATTTGTGTGGCATTTTATGAGAGCTTATCTTGAATTCATTACTATTCATGCCTTACAGTTTTGCTAATGAGAAGTTGAATGTGTATTCTACTAATTTAAACTGTTCATAATGTATAAACATAATGAAACAATCGCAGACGCTTATTGTGATAAAAAAGAGTACGGTTACGTAACTACCTTTTTACAGTAACATCGTTAAAACACTATGATTCATTATCGTACAATTCAATTTTGTACTGTTGGTAATAATAAAAATTCGGGATGTGCTTGCCCCAGATACGAAAATTTGACCCAGCTTTGCATTGGCCACATCTGGGATGCTGATGAACTTTGACCTTTCCTCTTATTCGTTCTCTCACCTTCATAACGTTCAACCTATATTCGCTCTGCTTTGCTCGATATTCATTCGAGATGCGAAACAGAGTCAACACAGACAGACATTCATAAATTGGATGGGATTCTATCTCAATGCTGCGTAAAGTGTTATGTGGTATAATTGCGTCAATATCATTAGCATTTATAAACGTGGCATTTAAATCAATTTGTAATTAAACAAAAGGCGTTGCAGGCTAGGATTTGTCCTTATCTGACTATTGAAATATTCTACACAACAGAACAGGATGGAATATTTTATATGAATGAATGAATTATCAGAAATTTCCATATTGAGGTGTGAAAAAGATAAATGTTCACAATTTAAACAACAATATGTGACGTTTCTGCAAACTCATATCGTAATATATGTTGTCTATAGTCGAATAGATAAAAAGGCGGGTAGTCTTTTAAATTGTATTTATAACTTTATTTAAATTTATTATAACTACTTACATATTAATATAATCTCTTGAAATGTTCGTTGTCATCATTTATCAAAAAATAATATGAATAATAATAAAATTAAATAGACTGAACAAACGTTGCTAGTTTTTACACAAAAGTATTTTTTTCTACTCTGTACAGCTGCAAAAATAAAAAAAAATACTAGCCTATTACCTACCTACCGTATTCGAGGAAACAGAAAATAAGCTTAATTAATGTTTGAAATGTAGGAATTAATTAATGAAATAATCAACTACTGCGGTGTTTCCAGAAGTGAATTAACTGGTCTTATTAAGAATACTTGATGTAATTAATTTTACATTAGTTAGATAGACACAAAACTGAAATGAGTGAACCGTTAATTCGGAAATTATTCGACTCTAGATATGAGAACAAGTTATGTATATATTAATTAAAATCAGACTCATCGTAAAATTTACATCAGTTTCATATTGAACAGTATTTTGTTAGCACAATTCAAGGTAAATTCTCTTCCAAAAATACATTTTCGACGCAGTTAATTATAAAGCAGATAAGTATCATGTAACTCGTGATTTGTACTTGTAAATGAGAAGTGTAAATAAATTATTTTGCCATTGGTTAGCGACTGTATAAATTTAATTAAATTTAGAACACAAATTACTGTTGTTATCCCGGCGCATCCACCATAATCAAATCTATGCGGAACATCTTATTAAAATAGTCAATATTTTTTAAATAACACACCCGCTATTGCGCGTTTATATGAATCACAGAGAGACACTTTTAAATACATTGTTCGATGTTTTTTAACTAAAAACGTTAAACGCCTTTTTAGTTAGAAGTAAGCCGTGCGACTGGAAGAATCGAAACTTTAAAAATAAATTACGAACTGGCTTTTATTCGGTTGTTTTAACAAAAGCTTATTAACTTTTTGCAAACTTGGTTCCAGTTAGTCTTTTGAGACTTTGAGTTTAATACATCTTCCATTTTTTGAGCTTAATTAAAACTGCATAAAGTATACAGTTTAAGTGACGGTGGAAGCAAAACGAACACAAAAAAAATATTGGCGGGGTAAATGTATTGTGCGGGTATTGGAATAAAAGAAGGTCTTTAAGAAATCAATATTTAACAGAAACCAATATATTTATTTGGGGCTATTTGATGTGTTATAGACATGAAAACAATAACTTATTTTTAAATTAAAGATATATCCCATTCATGTGTTTAAAGAAATAATATACTTACTGTTAGCAATATATCGCCTTCAGTTTTTACGGAAATGGCATCACCCTTTTTTTTTCAAATAAAATGGAGTTTTATTTTAAGCGCGAAGTGGAATATATTTAATGGTTTGCCTGTCTCAAACATCATTTACATAACTTTTGATTGCATTTGTTTCACAGAGTACGCACACTCGGCAATAATGATGTGTTTTGTTATAAAATCGAAATTTTATACACGTCCAAAGATTTATTTCGCCATCTATAAGCTACACAGAAGATGCAATTTTACAAAGGAAATACTAAAGCTTTGTCAACTTTAGCTTTCTTCTGGAAAATGGAAGTGGAATTACTGCCATTTTCTACGTGATATAATTTAAATTTCAAGCTAGACTACGACTGAATTTCATTTTCATTAAAACATCAAATAAAATTATGCTTTCCGTCATAGAGTTACATAGCGTGATTGGGTGGGTTGTACGGGCTCTAGAGATTTAAATGACACAGCTTACCACCAAAACAATTTAGGTGACTTTTTAAATTATGTATTCGTGTTTCATTCTGTTCCGCTTATGTCAGAGATTAATTTTAAAACAAGCTGTTAAGGTTGGGCGATGAGATGCCCTGTGTAGTTCTAGTTGTTTAGCTGAGCAACTTTAGGGTGGAAACATATTATTGGTTTCTTGTTACATTGGTAACAAAGGTTGTAAACGATGGCTAGCTTCTGGATTACGCTTCACGAATAAATATCTGCCTAAGAAGGATGTTTTAGAATGTAATTGCTGATTATATATATATTATACTATAAGTTTCCTCTTATTAATTAAATAGTTTACGTATGTGGCGTGAGATCAACAGATTATTAAATCTGTGAATTTATTCATTAGTTTGATTGTATTTATTAGGTGTTTTTAGTGTCTACTACTGTAGTATTTTTATAGACATGTTCTCCAAAAAAACGAAAGACTGATTATAGCATTTAAATGCAGTCATGTATTTACCTGGACCTATTATCCAAAGATCAGCTATTTTTGAAATATTGTGTGACATCTCATTTACAATTTTTTCAAACCAACATTGCAGTTTCTCGTTGCTTTTATAATTGTTACAAGATTCTTATTTTTTAACTGGATTTATTTCTGATCACTCTAGTTGCACAAGATTAAAATAAGAATTAAGAATATTTGTGCCCCTTGAACGCGTAATACTCGGTTAACCCGACTAGTTGTGAAATAATCGCATCTATGGTTAAAAGACTTTTTATTTCACTCAACTTTAAATTTTCTTAATTTTCATCAACTGAAAATGAAATGAACATCTAATAGGTGTTTTATATTGTTGTAATAATAATTTAATGATATATCAAAATCCATTAAAACAAATATACCTACTCGTATATTGCAATTTAAAAAAATTTGCGTAGCGACGCCGATAACATATATTCATCATATATGCAGTGCACTAAATTACGCTTCCCCCTTCAAGCTAAGAGCAATGGCGTGTATAGAATTCCAATATTTATATCCGTTCTCAAGATATAATGCTGCGGAATTTTATCTGGGAAACTGTATATATTATTTCGGTTTTTTTTTAAACTAAATTTATCGACTTCATTTTCTTGTTTAAAGATTCATTGTCCGCAATCTTTCATTTGTGTGTGTATAATAATAATATAATTATTATTATTAGTTTTTGAATTGTAAACATTTTGTTGTTAGCTTTTTTTAATGTAAGTATTTCGGATGATCATATCGCTTATTTCATTAAGCATTCTCCGACCGGACCCGGGTTTTTGATGTAACTTTATCACTTTGCAGCTCAAATTTTTACAATTTACACGCATGTATTTTTTGAAATTGAAGAACCAGTAAAATAAGGATTGATATTAGAAAAATTATTGCCCACGTTATAATCGCAGTAGAATCAGGTAGAAAATGTTAAATTCCTTGCGAAAGGTACAGCTTTCTTGGCCAATTTTATTATTTATTTTTCATTGATTTTTTTATTCTGCTTGGTAAATACACTGGATCAGTTGTTTAAAAAAAATTTTATTTTATACTTGTCTCTACAGGATAATTTCGAAATGTGTACAATAAAAAAACGGGGAATGCCTCACAATAAGATTTATTGCACTGTGTAAAGTTTACGTTTCTAAGTGGTAGCAATGTCTATAAAAAAATATTTGAAATTAAGTATAAATTGTTATACACTGGTAGTGTTTCTTGACCTGCTATTCAAGAATTAAGAGCCAAAAGAGCGTGCAAAAATACGATAAGAGCCAGTCATGTATCAGCTGGTTGCCGTCGTGTGTTCTGTTAACGTCTTCGACAATGGTGAATCCTTCTAATATGAAGCGTGTCGACATGGTGATGCTTTATGGTGTGGCTGATGGAAACGCCAAGTTGGCCCGCGAATTGTGAACCAAGCGCTTTCCAAATCACGCGATTCCGTGTGTATGAACATTAACATCGGTGGTGCAGCATCTTCGAGATCATGGTACCTTCAAGTCTCAAGCTCACGATCGTGGCCGTGGTAGGACTGAAAGAATACAGCAAGCTGAAGAACAAATTTTGGAACGCGTCGAAGAAGAACCCGACATCAGCCCGACTTGCAGCTGAAGTTGGAGTTTCACAGTTTGTAGTGCATCGTGCATTAAAAGAACAAGGCCCACATCCACACCACGTTCAAAAAGTGCAAGCCTTTGAGCTCGCTTCTCAGGACCACCATTTGTTTCTACAACTAATAATCTTTCGCATTGACTTTAACGATGAATGAATACAAGAATGAACGAACCAGCAAAAAGTCGGTTTTACTTTTAATTGACACTGAAGGTGTTTACATAGTTTTTATTAGAAACGTTTTTCCATCTAATGTTTAAAAGGTGGATCAATGCATCACATTGAGGGTAGTTCATAGGGCTTCTGCCCCATTCGAATTTTAATTAGTTTTTTCTATATTTCCACATTACTAGGTACGTGATGCCGTGGTTACCACTATTCTATATATATTTCGAAATCACCCTGTATGTGTAATAAATTAGTATTATTTTAGCAAAACAAATTTAATTGATTACAAGTGATATTATTATATATATTATTATTATATTGATATTACTAGCTACTAGAAACAATGAAGAAAAATTAATGTTGCCAGTGTGTCTGGAATTTTCGAAAAATGTCATAAATGAATTATACGTTACAAACACTCATCATTTAAAGCATTTGGATGAACTACGGTTTCCCAATGAGACCAATTGCGTTGACAAAAAAAATGTTTCTATTATGGACGTACCTACAAAAACAATATAAAATTATTATTAAATAGGAGTAATTATAATTATAAAAATATGGCACACAACCTTCAGTCCCTGTACAAGGTTTTTCAACGTTACGTGAATAGTAATTTACGTTTATCTACATATTCTAATAATCATACGAAAAAACATGCTTAATTATATAAACTGGTTTATCTTTTTGGAGGAACCATTATTTTATAAGTATTACAGAAAAAAATAAATAAAACATATGTAGCTATTGTTTGTTTTTGGATAAAATATCCCGTTAGCATCCGGAAATTGATCTGATCGTGCGTTATTTCCAGATCAGAATGAGTCAGCGAAGGAGAGGTGACGACAGCGGCGGATGAGGAGGCGCCAGTACGGCTAGCACCGCGACCCCCAGCCAGCCGCCGTCCATGGTAGGCGATCGGGATGGCGAAGGGCTGGCAGTGCGGTGGGACTCGGCGACGGCGACGACGACGGCCGCTGAGGCGGTGGACGGCCGAGGGGTGCGCTACACCTCCGTGCCGCAGACGTCGCCGCCGCCTCTGCAGCTGCAGCAGCCGCCGCCGCCGCCACCTCTGCCGCTCCAGCTGCAGCGGCCCTACTCCCGTTCCATGTCCTCGCTACCCCCGGAGCCCTTCATGATAATGCGCTCCAAGGCGCTCAACCGACGCGTCTGCATCAACGTGGGGGGCGTCAAGCACGAGGTCCTCTGGCGGACGCTCGACCGCCTACCACACACGCGTCTCGGCCGCCTCCGCGACTGCAACACCCACGAGGCCCTCAGCGAGCTGTGCGACGACTACTCGCTTATCGACAACGAGTATTTCTTCGACCGACACCCCAAGTCTTTCAGTTCCATCCTCAACTTCTACAGGACGGGAAAACTGCATCTGGTGGACGAAATGTGTGTGCTTGCTTTCAGCGACGATCTAGGTATTTTGTTATTTTGGGTTTGTTGCATGTTGGCGCAAAATTTTAGCAAATATTATTTATTAAACTTTTGTTATAGAACTTATATTAAATATGAAAAAAATTGTTCTCATTTAAAAAAGAAAAAAATTTTTTGTATTTCTAGAAGTACAGGGCGATTCATGGGTAACAATAATAAAATTGGAAACATAACACAGAACAAGGTACATTTCCGAAGGATTAGTAGATCATAATTTTGACAAAAACATCACTTTTGAAGTTTCCGACAATTTTTTTTTTAATTAATGTAAAAACTGTTCAAAATGCTGCCCATCATTTGTTTCACATTCTCCTGCTTCATCCGAAAAAAAGTCAAAATCGTAAAAGTAATGATTACAATTTTGATGTTCTCTAAAAAAGTTCTAAAAGGCTAATCTAAAATCCGTGGACTTCATTTCTTGGACTATCTAATGTTAAGTGATAGGAATGAATTTTTTTTCCTTTCAATATTTGAACCACAGATGATTGACTATTAACCTGAAGCTGACAATTGTTCTTTAACTCACAAGAGAATTATTGTCTACCAGTTTCAAAACCGCTGGATTCGCCATAAATTAAAATACTTAATCAGTTATCAGTTTTTAAATTTATGTTCAAAATTATGACACCCGTAGAAAATCCGTCAACAAAGTGACTTCTTGTAATTACTTGTATTATTCAGTAACAATTCTTGAAGACATAGTGCAAGACCCTAGTTCTTATTACGGTTTGCATCTTCTGTGGTAAACTTTTGACCAAGTTTTCAGTGGATTGTTGGACGTTATTCCATTCAAAAGCACGTTCCAGAATTTGGAGATTTCCGGGTGTTGATACATGGTGTCTCACCGATTTTTTAACTGACCCCGGAGATGCTTAACTGGATTTAACTCTAGGCTTCTTGTTGCCAGTCTATTATCCGGATATCAACCTCATTTATGTGGTTCAAAACTGGCCTGGTAGTATGCGCCCCAGCATTGTCGTACATAAAAACGAAATTGTCACCTATAAAATGGCGTAAACGGCATAACATGGTCTTGAATAATGTTTTCAAGGTAATATTCCACAGTCGTGGATCTTCAATGTACTAACTCTCTACGACCATCGTAGCAAATTTTTCCTAAAACATTTTTCATCTTCAAATGGTTTTTTTGATATTTCAAAATTTGTCCAAGAAATCGTTTATCTCTTAAAGTTGTAATTTTCTTTCTTTCCTGTCCATGTCTGCTAGAACGTGATCGAGTTTTCCTGAATCTTACTTACTGTTGTATGCTTAATATTTTTGTCGGCTACATAACGCATTTTTCGTCCTTCTTCTAAGAAAATTATTGCTTTCACCCAGTCTCTGACAATCAAGGAAAATCAAAAGTTGATAGACGTCAAAACTTAGACAGCTAGGTTTAATATACCGAGGGACTATTAATGGTTGTGTTCTTTTTTGTCACGCTGGCAACATATTTAAAATTTTGTGATGGGATACCTGATTGTCACATTAAGATTTATGAAATACAATTAGTAGTTGGCATCGTCTCAACCTGTCAACACAAAAATTTACTTCAATCATTAATAGTCATTTGGTATTTGATAAAGTGAAAAATAAATCTACGAACCCGTTAAAAATATATTCTGAGTTGCATCTTACCGTTTGGTTTGGCTCATTATTACTCGTGAATCACTCGCTATTAGTGAAATTATTAAAATATAATCACGAACAGTTCTCTTTAAGTAAAACATTTCTAAAATAACGTCCAATATTTGGTATTCGCTGCCATGGTTGAAAAACTATCCTCTTGGGTTTCTGTCTGAAAAGTGTAGACATAAAATATCCTTTTAACAGAAGAATAGTATATTTTTATTTCTCTAACTGGGAAAAGTGCAGTAATAGGGCTCATCCCCGTCCTAAAAATTTTAAAATGTTTGCTGGTTTTACAGTATACCTATCCAAACTGATACATTTGTTCCCATTAAATTTTATTACGAAAAACTCAATTTAAACACATGTGTCGCATGCATCTTTACCTGTAAATTAACAATCCATGCTTATTGTTATTTTAACCTATAGGAATTTCCGCAGAAAATACAATTCGAAAAATAGGATTTTAAGAGATTGAGAAAGAGTCTTGAGAATTTCTAGTGTTTTGTTGTTGAAAGGCTTTGAAAGAATCTTCGAGTCCTCTTGTATTTTATTTTTGAAATTATTTGGACAAATGTCGGGGATTCTCGTGGTTTTAAAAATCTTTTTTCCACTACCTCAATTATATTAAAAAAAAAAAGATTCAAAGAGAACTATTTTTTTATTGTCATTATCAGAAGAAAAATAATAGCAAAATGTAAAAGATTTCATATGTAGTTTCATCTACGACAATGATATAAATATTATTTTTGTACGACCATTGCTTTTTCGATCATTTACCGTATAGGTGTCCATAGCAGTAAGTTCAGTTTACGGGTTGCTACGACTAACAACGAAGAGGCGAACGGTAAGTAAATTACTTACTGTTCAGCTGAACGGTAAGTAATCATGCATTCAAGATTTTTTTTATTTTAAATTCCATGCGTGTTCGACTTCGACATTTTCGCTTTCAGAATCACTCATGATTGATATTTTAAGCAAATAAATCACTCACTAATAATAGTCGCGGAAAGAAAATTAACTCGAAATCAAACCAGATCAAATCTAAATCGACAGCGGTCAAAATGGAAACTGATTTTTAAAATTGTTGTTTATATTAATGGAAACCATAGTAACAAATTTTAAATTAAAAAACGACCTTGTTGATGTTTGATATAAATTCTTTCAATTTATGAATTTGATAAAAAGACGCAAATCTTTTGATGGTCGTACAAAAAATAGTATAAGCATCACGAACGTTAAGGGGGTTTACTGGTCTCAGACAAATTGGAGACGTCGCTTCGCTCCGTCTCCATACTTTTGCCTTCGACCAGTAAACACCCCTTACCGTTCTTAATACTTAATATACTATTATCACTCGTTGGTCGAGTTAGTAATACGTTATCGCATTTTATAATAAACACAATTTTCTGGGTACCAAGTTAAATTAAAATAAATTCTGAAATCCTAAATATTGCATACAGGATGTGTCATCTAAAACTGCACGGCGCCGTTTTGAGAACGGATAGAGATAATTGTTTTTAGCTTAATTTAGTACACTGTAAATATGACGCATATATGGCATAGGCATCGCGATACAAACCTATATATTTTTTAAATGGCATTTTTTTTAATTGATCGTTAAATTGGGATTACATTTATATAAGGCATTCAGACATTATTTCATTTTCAGTTGATAAAAAATACAATTTATAAACACAAAAAATTAAAGCACTTGTAATTTATTTTATAGGAGTAATCAACAAAATCTGTCTCAAAAGTAGTTACATATTTTAGCGTATGTTCGAGCTGTCGTAAAATAGTGGTAGTTCTTTATTTCACTCTACTTTCATTTTTTTTCTTATATTTACATTTTTTTATCAACTGAAAATGAAACAGGTATCTAAGTGTTGTATATTATTGTATTCAAAATTTAATGGTTTACCAACCAGAGTCCGTTAGAAAATATAAATATACGTTGCATTAAAAAATGTATAGGTTTGTAACGCGACGCCGACGCCATATATGCGTCATATTACTACTAAATTAAGTTACCCTTTCAAGCTAAAAGCAATGGCGTTTACAGAATTTAAGTCTCTCTGTCCGTTCTCAAGATATTAAGCCTCGGAGTTTCAGCTGAGATATTATATTATACGTTGGTATCTCGTTGTGGGCAAATTTAGCACTGTTTGATAATAATGCCGTTATCCCATTTGTATTGCAGTGTAGATAAAGTAGGATAAACATTACCTACGAATATGACATCCGCACACAACGAGGAGTAAGGATCCGGACGTGATGCACAGAAACCTGGCCAAAATTCTAAAACATGTTTTCGCTACTTGTAATCCAATAAAACTAACATAAATGAGATTAAAGCACTCAAAAAGGAGAAACATTCATTAAAGCTCAAAAAACAAATTACTATTGCTACTGGTGTCTGATGTCGACAGAATTGTTTCTCTGTCGTTCCCAATATTTGGCGGTTCTAAAAGCTGTAAAACTTCTCGGGAAAGACTTCTTTGTTTGTCATTTATTTTTTGCGAAGAAGAAATTAACGGATCAGAAGATACCAGTAATAAGTATATATATTAAAGAGATCTGCATTACTCGGTTCCTTTGAAATTTTCCGAGTGTGGTTTCGCCGATATGTCTTTAAATCTTTGTTTCAGGACTCTTGTGCCACTTCGGAGAGCTGTAGAAAGAAATGAAAATAACTGAATGGGCACAAATGATGTAAACAACATGTCAGAACCAGTTGCAATTTCTTTAAGTTTTTGTTTATTATATAAAATGTTATTCAATACTTCAGGTCTCGCCTCAAAATTTTCTTTTTGTGCAACAACTATTCTGCTTACCGTGTGGTCTAAGAGAGCTTGCAAGGAAACTTCCATCAAACTTTCAGACTTTCTTATACTGTTTCGTGGTGGATAGCAGCTAGCTAGCTAGCTAGAATATATGTTAGAATTTTTCAATTTAGCTTTAATACGCAGTTTTTGATATTGCGCTTTTGTTAATTTCGATGAAATAAATAACGCTAAAGCTTCTTCGGGTAAATGTGGCGCAATAACTTTTTCGTCTTTGTTATCCCGGTTTGTCTAATCCTAGAAGCTCTGTGTCGTGTTTAAAACTTCGAACAGTTTAGCAGCATCGGTTTTTCCAGGTACTCTTTTAAACTCACCTGAGTTGCATATCCCAACTCGTACAGGTATTGGTACGCTTATTGCCTTAGTCAAAAGTAAACGTTGGACGCCCAGCACACGCTGAAGTGGATGCCAGTGTTCGGAAGGAACTTCAGTGAAAAGTTCAAATGCACTAAGAGTTTTTTTTCTAAACATGTCTTGGAATTCTGACTACTGAGCTCCTATCTTTTTGAGAATTCGAAACATATCCTGTAAATATTCTGTTTGATTGTTTTGCCACAACTCCAGATGTAGATGTCGCGTTTTGTTCGTAAATGTTTCGTATCAAATTTTGTATATTCTGAGTTTTGGCATTTCTTCTCTTGCCAAATTTTAAATAAGAATTTTTAAGTAAAGACAAATCTTGGGGAAGACATACCTACAAAGACTCTTCATTGCTGAAACTAACAATTATTATTAAGAAACACCGTTTGAATGTACATAAAACAGCTACGCTACTTATTTACACTACTAAAAGCAAAATTATAAACACTCAAATTACTACCAATTTTTGCATATCGATACCGAGCTGATTAAAACTGCCATAAAACAGAAACTGGCAAACAAAACAGTTGAATTTTATAGTAGGTACAGAAATATCAGACGTTCTTTGATATCCTAAAATAAAAAGTATATGACGAATTGGCCAGAGTAATTTTGTAACTCAATGCAAAATTGATAGTTTTACGAATTAAATCCCATTAAACATCAAATTACATATTAACAGATAACACAATGATTATTATCGACAATAAATAGGAATTGGTGGTGGATGTGGTGTAAAATAATGCTTATCTTGTGCTTCCTCCTCCATCTAACTGAAACAAATAACGATCAAATCACAAAAGTAAAAGCCCCTTGAAACTGACCAACCGCTACATGTCAGCTGCATGGAACGATAATTGTTTGCTGTGAAAGAGACAAAAAATTCTTCCGTACGGATTAATTTTTAAGCAAAATCTGAAACTTCCATAATTGGGCATTTTGACCAGGTTTTCATGACATTTTCATTATATGTAACGTACAGAATTTTATCTACGATTTAAGATTTTTACTTCCCGAGCGTAAGCTAAGGAAGTATAATAATGGAGTCCATTGTGCGAATGGCCACTTTCTGAACCCCTACGGTACGAAAGAAGTAGTCTCCCGTTTCCGTCTGTCTGTCTGTTTGTATCCATTTTTATGAGACACGTAATCTCCGAAACTGCTGAACCGATTGTTGTCAAATTTTGTATGTATATTAGAAATACCATGTAGATGGTTACATGATAACCAAAATTTGGCTAATCATCCTCACCGACAATTTGATGATTTGAATGTTACACAAAAATATACTCATGTAGTTGTAGTGTACGAATCCGCTTTAAATTTTCTCGCGAAACGTTCAAAAACCATTTGCAAGGTATGATAATGTTTTATTCCCAACACGGTTTGAACGTCTCCGTGGCGCAGTGTGTGTATCGCAGAGACAGCAACCCTGTGGTAATGAGATTGTGGGTTCGATGCCGAACTTGGCCATTTCCTTTTTTTTTCTTGCATTGGTATAACGCTGTGAGTAGTTTTCTTTTATGTTGTGACTAGAATGATCCATATTGATGACGTCGTTACATATTTTTTATTGGTCAAATTAAGAACGAATCACTCCATTTTCTCGAAAATGTGAAGAATACGCACGTCTTTATATAATAATGATAAAATATAAATTATAATATGCAGAAGATTTTGTTCGATTGTGGTTTAATTAATAATTTTAGTCCTGTTTTGAGAAGACAAATTTATTCAAATCAAACTAATTTCTACGTGACATTCTTTCGATGTATAAAAATAAATAAACACTTGAGCTTCAGATTGATATTAGCTAGTGATGAAGGATAAGGGGTGTTATTTATGCCTCTGGTTCTTACTTTACAGCGGTTACCACAAAACGAAAGTCGTAAAATCTAATTTTATATATTTTTTAAAGCTTAATTTGTTGGATTATACTTATAGCCTTCGACCAAATTTTTATTGATCAAATTAAGAACCTTATTTTTTAGCTTTGCTTAGACAGGGTCGCTCAAAAAAATTAATGAATAAGTCAATTAATTTTATTGAATAACTCAAGAATTGCAAAACTCAATATTTTGAAATCTTGTAGACGTTTTATTGCAAACATGGTAAATTGTTAATCAAAATCTACCTGCTTATTCCCCGATGATGTTATTTGTGCAAAATATGATAAATTTTTACTTGTGATTTATTATTGCGTTCAAATTTTTTAGATTTGCTTAAGCAGGTGCCTTAAAAAAAATGAATGATTCAATTTATTTTATTGATTAAATCAGGAACGGCTCACTCCATTTTCCCAGAAAATTTTGGGAATACAATACTGTTATTTTTAGTATTACTCACACTGCACCAATCCAAGTTGATATACGTGTCCTTGCAAAAATATTGGTGACGTTATTGGAAAATTGTGTAAAAAAAAAAACTCAACTTGAAAATGCTGGATATGTTTCATTGTACGTCAGAAGCCAAGGAAGTCCTGTCTAAACAACTTTTGACCATTTTTTTTCAGTTTATAACTGAATATTGTACTTAAGGTGTCAGTCAAAGAAATTAACAATTTGATTACAAATAACTAATTATTGTTCAATTCTCATTTGACTAATTTTGTTTAAACACTAGTTTAACTAGAGGAAAATAAATTTGGTAGATTTAAATGAATCAGTTTATCTGGTAACTGTAAAAGAAAAACCCTTTGTGCAGTTTACTTTTCACAAGTTCATTTTTGATAAATAAATTCAGTTTACTTTTCACAAGTTCAATTTTGATAAATAAATTCCTTACAATATAATATTACATTTCTAAAAGTTGTTCTTTCAAATATTCTACGTATTTTCTATCTTTAAGATAAAGTTCCATTATACATGTTCGAATACATTTTTAAACATTTTATCTGGAAAATATGTATTATAACATCATAGTCTGAATTAAAACCGTTAAGTGTTATCCAGTGACTCGATATGTTAAAACGATATATTAAAATCGCTGAATTACTCTCTGTAAATACGTTTTGAGTAAACGTTTCAGCACTACAATAATTTATTATAGTGAATACACGAACTGAAATTTTTATAAAAACCTTGTTGACACAAAAATGGTGAATGTATAAAAACAAAAATAGAAGCCACTGACAAACCCATAAATGTCAGTAAAAGGGAATAAGGAGTTAATAATCAATAGTCATAAAATATTCTAAGCAAATATTTTTACAAAAGTTTTATTTTAAGAAATATAATTAACAGTAATTCAACCTGGATTATAAATGTGGTCGAAATAAAATATTAATAAAAGAGTCAAGGTTTTAAGCAAAAAACTTGCATGAAAAGACAATAGCGTAACGATAGAATTGTAACACGACCTCGAATTCAATAACAGCTAAGACATACAAAAATAATATGTCTGTCTTCTTCCCTGCGGTACGAGAGATGCATGCCTGTTGTGCATATTGTTCAGTGAAGATTTATTTACTGATTTTCTAGAAAAAAACATACATTTTATTGGGTGTCCTGTAATTATCAAATTGGTGTTATTAATTTTACTTTTTTGCAATAACTCGTAGATACATTCAAAGGTAAAAATATCGGCGTACCATTAAACGTGAGATAAAGGAGCACGTCACAATTTAAAATCATTGTCTACACCACATTCTAAAAGCTTACTTAAATTTTATATTGAATTGATTACAATCGTTCATTAATTGGTACTGGGGAAGTAGAAAGCAACGTTAACATCTTTATTGATAATAATTATAGCTGTTTTAAACATAAATATTTTTTTTTGTATCTAAATTAATTAGCGAACGTAAAGAGCACACAACGAACGGGGCATAAAATAACACTTTTTTTCTTGACCTGGACATATATTTTACAACGTAGCACACATACTACTTTACTATAAACAGTAATTTAATTTCTCATATAAATAGCTAAAGAATTAGAAGCAACGAGTAGATCTACCCATAAAAATGACATTAAAATTGTTTTGCGTCATAAAAACGTCCTTCCTGCAAGTTCCTCAGGGGAAATAGTGAATAAACTATTTTATTAAAACTTTTTCAGAGTACTGGGGCGTCGACGAACTCTATCTAGAATCGTGCTGTCAGCATAAGTACCACCAGCGAAAAGAGCATGTACACGAAGAAATGCGGAAGGAGGCCGAGTCACTTAGGCAGCGCGACGAAGAGGAATTTGGAGAGGATAAGTGCTCACAATATCAGAAATGGTTGTGGGACATGCTGGAAAAACCAACCACATCGATTGCAGCCAGGGTGAGGGCTTACAAAACTAACTACTTACAGCGCTACCCAAATCGCTGCTTTATCAAATTCGTCCTGTGCTGAGCTTATTCAAGAAATTTTTCAATTAAACAAAGTCATTCGCTTCGGTTCTAATTAACTCAAATATCTACGGCGCGCTTATTTCAGGAATTTTTCGTATTAATTTGTATCTTTGAAAGCTCGCGGAATTTTACGTTCGTTGAAATTATCAGAATATTCATCTAAGAAAAATTACAAATATGTGTATTTGATCATTACGAAGTAATTAAATTCAACTCCGAATCAATCGTGTTGGTTGTGAAATTTTAAGGTTAAATAACTAAGAACTTAGATTTTTTATTAGTTATTTTATACAAAACGGAGAATCAATTATTTAAGGGTAGTCAGTATTTAAATTCCTCAAAGTTCCCTCCTTTGTGCTACATCTGTGCAGTTGGCTTGTCATGCCTAAAGCTAGAGGATAGCCACGTTTAAATTGACTAAAATTACTATTTAGAATTAAACATATGTAGTATACACTTTTTTAACAAAATAATAGAGTGTATTATTTGCTCACAATTTCGAGTAAGTGATTTTGTAAGTGAAATTAAAAGTGAATTGAAAACAAATGTGACACCATGTTACAACACGAAGATAACACGCTAGATTTCCAGCGCTTAAGGAAATATGCTTTAAAATTATAACAAAGTTCAAGCGCCGGTACCAAAAGCACGTTTTTAAACTATTTCAATTTAATCTATAAATATACAAGATGAATTCGCGTGTGCTTACATGGCTATATTTATAAATAAAAAAGTTTTTAGGTTTCTTAATTTGATTGTTATACGCCGCTGTTTGTTAAAATAGAAATCAAATTTAGATCGGTAAACAAGTGAATCAAATTAATTCAGTATATTTATTAGTGTTTTTGTAAATAGAATAACACTGCAAATATTCTCGAGACAGTAATGAATAATTACAGTTACAAATTCTGAACCGAATAACTTTGAGAACGAAACCAGAAAATGGAAATTAACCTTATTGTTGCTCTTGCTGAATTAAATATCAGATAGCACCGAAATTTAGGAAAAAGTAATGATTTCCTTGAATATTTTAACATAAATACGAAGAAAACTATTGATTATCATATTTCGTGCTACAATGATAGTTACCTACATTAACGTCGGGGTAACTTCACGTGCAAAATAACATGGTGGATGAATTAAATCAAACAGCCAAAATTAGTGTCAATTTTTTTAATTCAAGTTAGCAAAATTGTTCTGATTTGTCTGATTTTATAACAAATATTGTTGCATTTTCATAGTCAGAGCAAGTGTTTTAAATCACCTGAATTTACAGTGTTACTGTCAACAGTAAGGGTGGGTTTTTCCAAAATGTAGTTAACCTCTGGTTTCGTAACTTTTAGTTAACTTTAACTCCAAGTTAACTAGCAGTTAATTTTGAATGCGTTTTTCCAACAAATTAGTAAATTTGGTTAGAAAACTAACAGTTAACTATGATTTATATTTGGTATCTATGGCAACGTTTCACAAATCTGTTGTTTATTGTGATAAATGTCATTCAAATTCTTCTGGTGTGATTATTTTGTACAAAAATGAGTAACACAGAGAAAACAAAGCGGTGTTCTAACTTTACGAAAGAAGAGGAAAGGATTTTGACCTAATTGGTTCATAAAAATAGAAATATAGTTGAATGCAAAAAAAGTGGCCAGGTAACATAGGAGCAGAAGGCAAATACCTGGCGTACCATTGCAGATGAATTCAATTCCACTGTTGGGGGGCAATTTAAAAGGGTCCAAATTTTAAAATGCAAATACGCCAATTTAAAAAAAAAGTTGCAAACGTTTATCTTTGTCAGAATTCTTTTCTATCCCATTTTTCAAAATAGTTTATACGGTCCCTTAAAACTCTTTGTTTTCGTACAGGCACCTTCTCATCGTCGCTATAAACGTTAATATCGACGAAATCCATCATTTTACTCATGACAGTTTTATAAAATCAAACGTCAAAATATGAAACTACTAGTTAACTGATACTTTGAGTTCTGGTTAAATGAAATTAGAAGTTAACTTTAAACCGTTAGTTAACGAAAATGGAAAAACACTGCAGGCCTAGTTAACTGTGAGTTAGGTTAAACCGTAAGTTAACTAGAGATGGAAAAACCCAGCCTAAGTTATCAAAGGTAGTTAGGACTAAAACGGATGTCAGCATCTGTTATTTTATAAAATGTACCCATCAATCGTATGCAATCGTTAATGATTCGAAAATTTTTTTCACTGAACAGATATTTGATTGTGTAATATTTATTTACCTTATAACTACAGTTTATTTATAGTTTCTTATTCCACATTTGCTAATGTAAGTATTTCCAGGTGGTTAAGGACAAACATGTATAAGTTTCACTGGTTCTAAATTTATTCATCACGTTCATTTTTAATAATTCATTTTTACATAATGTTAACCACTCTTCTGTGAATAAAGAAGGGTAAATTGATTCGACAGTTCATTTCATGAATAAAATGTAAAACGGTAAATAAACGTTGCCGGCACAAATTATTTAGTTTGATGTTTACAGGTCATCAAGCTTTAGCTACGGTACAGACTTTGTATTACTTTCACTTTCTAGCGAAAAGGGTTGAATGAATGAATGAGGCTATGATAAAACTCGACATAACTTCAACTAAATATGCCTACTGAAAATTTTTCGCTTCGTTGAGATATCAATGATTAAAGCTAAAATGCTTGAATAAGAACATCCTGAATAGACCAGATTTTTAGTATTATGGTGAATTTTGAAAGTAATTGTAAAATACTATATTTTTACGTTTATTAAGGTATTAACATAAGTAAATTGCATAATGTAAATCTGAGACAAAAGTGCGATCTTGAGAACTAGATCTGTATTAATTTTCGGGAACCGTCGGTTTTCTTTTTGTGAATTGTTTCTATGTGGTGTTTTCCTTATAATTGATGTGTTTGTAAATACACTCTTCTATCTCTTTACATACCTTTAATAAAAGAAAAATTCTTGGCATTAGGTACTAATAGTTAACATGACGATAAAGATTGTTTAAATCACTTTGCTGAATGTGTTACTACAGAGTGTATAGAAAATTCTTATGCAGCAAGTATTTTGTCAGAGATTTATTTATCTCATTTTTCATAAATTTCTATTTTTGCGGCAATTACGTCAATGGCAGCTGTAATCGTTATTTTTTGTAAATGCTATGATAAATGCGAATTTCACTACAGTCGATGGATAAAATCCGAATAGTTATCTAAAGACGGACCACATTCTACGAGTTTTTAAGACTACTAATAGCTTACCCAAATTCACGAGTTTTATTAAATTATTTCAAATGAATATTAGTTTTTCATGTCTTAAAAACTGTTTGATTAAATTTCTTAGTCAGCACAAGTTTAATAGATGGCAAAAATGATATTTATCTTATCTCAAAACTGAATCGATTAAAAAAATTAATGTTAATTTATGTACATAAAATACTACACGAATGTAAAAGGCTACATGTATACATATTTCTTCTCTTGTATTTATGACAATCTGTTGCACGACTTTTTCAAAAATTTTTGTAAGAGCATGCTTTTAAAAAAAGAACGTTTGATACAATCTCTTTCCTTCTGTGTCGCAAATTTTATATTTCACTGTAAGACAAACTGCTTTAATGTTCAGTGTTTTTCGGTGTTTGTATTAAAAGAAATTAATTTTGGAATATTTTTTAATAATAACCGTTCGTTTATTTCTCGATGTGGCCAATTTCTTTCTATTCAAACACTGAAATCTTGTTTATGCTGATGACTGTTTTAGATGTCTACTTCAAAGCGAAGATGAAGAATTCGATGTTTTCAATTTCAGTGTATACGCTTATGTTTTAACATATTGATAGTGATGGGCAAACGCGACGATCAGATGCGCAAAATCGAGCCCTGGAATGCGTTGTCCTTCAAAGCATGCCTTTTTGGCCACTATTCGACGTCAAATTTTTTGTTTCGATTTTTTTCAACACCTTCTCCTTTTCTCAAAAACGCACCGTTGTCTATACACGAGTACACAAATTTTACGAAATTGCGAAAAGCACAAGTCGCTGGTTAAATGAATATATTTATAAATAAATTAACAGTTTAATGTAGTCTTGCTTGAAATTAAGCGTTTTGAAAATTTTGCCACCGTAGGTCAATGTTGTAATCGATGTTATATTTACTGCAGCTAGAATGAAAGCAGTTATCCCTGTGACAACATGGGATAACAGTGACATCGCTGACTTTTCAGTTCCGCGTCAGTAAAATATTAGTTTGCGCTTTGTAATACATAATTTTCACGTACCTATAATTTAGTGTAGAACGTAGAACCGTTTCATAAGCGACAACTCATGGTTTTTTGTTAGCGAATTACTAACAGAATAACCTTGTATAGCGATGTGTAGTTAGTGTACATATTGTATATACTTTTTTTTCTAACCGTAGAGGCTTATTTAATTTATGACGTCAGATGGTTAGCCAATATAGGCTGGTTTTTGACTGACATGTGGGTTCGAGCTGTTTGTACATTGCTTCCTATTTCGAGACCTCTATAAATGCTTTCGGACTAACAGTACTAACCAAACAAACAGCCATTATCCTATATTCTTCCCTATCCTCTCTGCTTTTTTCAAGAGTAGCTTTGATTTTTGTTTCAGAATATTTTATTTTTTGCTTAATGATCACCGCAGCTTACCATATTATACATAATAATCGTTGAAAATACAAAATGTTGTGATTTCGTTGTTGGATATTGTCAGTATGTGTTGTGGAGTATGCTTTTGTAAAAAATTTGATAAGTTATGTGGCTTGTGCGTCTATTACTATTTTGATTCGTATAGGGAATGGTTGTTGAAAAACAGTAAAATTGAAAACAATTGGCATATCCGTATCCGAAGCTATAGAGGATTGAAAGGAGGAAGTGTTGCAAATGATGTGATGTATTTCAGGTGATTGCCATCGTGTCCATCTTGTTTATTGTGCTGTCCACTATCGCCCTAACGCTCAACACCATTCCAAGTATGCAGGTCAACGAGAATGGCAGTTTCCAAGATAATCCCCAGTTGGCAATGGTAGAAGCAGTTTGCATCACGTGGTTTTCGTTAGAGTATATTCTAAGATTTAGCGCTTCGCCAAATAAGTGGAAGTTTTTCAAAGGTGGCCTGAATATCATCGACTTACTAGCCATATTGCCTTATTTTGTTTCTCTATTTCTCCTGGAGACTAACAAAAACGCCACTGATCAGTTCCAAGACGTTCGACGTGTCGTACAAGTGTTCCGTATAATGCGAATTTTGCGAATCCTCAAGTTGGCGCGTCACTCTACGGGTCTCCAATCGTTGGGGTTTACGTTACGAAACTCTTACAAGGAATTGGGTTTGCTCATGTTGTTCCTAGCCATGGGCGTCCTCATATTTTCCAGCCTCGCTTACTTCGCCGAGAAGGAGGAGCCGGGCACTAAGTTCAGCAGTATACCGGAAACGTTCTGGTGGGCTGGCATCACGATGACAACTGTAGGTTACGGAGACATATACCCCACAACAGCGCTAGGGAAAGTTATAGGAAGTGTATGTTGTATATGCGGTGTCTTGGTAATCGCGTTGCCCATTCCTATCATTGTCAATAACTTCGCCGAGTTTTACAAGAACCAGATGAGGCGAGAGAAAGCGCTGAAACGGCGCGAAGCCCTCGAACGCGCCAAGAGGGAGGGCAGCATCGTGTCCTTCCACCACATCAACCTGAGGGACGCTTTCGCAAAGAGCATGGATCTCATCGATGTTATTGTAGACACAGGTGAGTGTCGATTTCTTTCTTGCACGCAGGATCATTCGCATTGCGTGATTTATACTATGATAAATGTCGACTGCTTCGTATCGCGTAACTCGCCACCTGACGATGAGAGTGATTTTCTTTTGCGTGTCTTGGTTTGCACCGCGTTAAGACGATCTCCTCTTCCCCAGGTGACAAGTGTGCCCTGATTGGTGGAAACGAAGACAATCGCAGACACTCATAAGGCGTGTTAAAGCGTAAACCGCGGGACTCGAAAGAGCATGTTCACGCTTGTGTTCAGTTTCATAAGCATTAAATGTATAGAGCACCGTCGTAGGTTAAACTAAGTCGTCACGTTGGTTCTTTATCTAACTGCTTTTCATCGTTTTATAAATGTGTTGACTTGACTTGTGCTGAACATTGTCGAGTGCACGTACGGGCTGTTTCGGGCATTCCCGCATGGCCCGTCGATTGGTGGTGGTCTTCTTGCTGACAGTGGCTGTCTCGCTAGGCCACAATATCTCTCACGTCGATGGTAACAGCACTGAAGGGGAATCGGCCAGCGGACGAAATCCGGCTCAAACGGGCACCGGATGTTATAGAAACTTCGATCATTTCCCTAACAGACATCGACGAAGCAATTCTTCCACAACACCTTGTCTTCCTACCGGCGATGGACCACCATTACCCGCTTCTCCTCTTTCGCAACGTCGCCTGCTGGAACTCGCGCCTCCAGAAGAACAACAAATGCAACAAAACGTTCCGTTGGCACCTCTTGCACAAGACGAAACGCAACTGATCGCGGCTACTCCCAGGGGATACATATCACCAGGGGTAAGAACGTCATTTACGACTTTCTCATACTGACGAGCCAACCAAACCAGACAACACGTACAAAACATGTAAACACATTTTTCGAAAAAAGAATACCTACCTAACACTACAAAAATTGCTTAAAATCTTATTAAGAGCTTAGCTGTAACGCTTTAGCTGTGGTATTTATGTGCTATCAGATTTTAAGCAATCTTTGTCTTAATAACGTGTTTGTACATGCATAATAAAACTGTTGACGTGGTTTGGCCTAATTAACATTATTTTGGCAGTCATTGCTAATATGCTGAGCGTAATTTCTTATACATCAACTGGCTTATTCGAGTTTCCAAAACAGATCAAAATTTTTTCTTCCGTGTTTCTCCTGCTGAAAGGTATCAAAATTTTGACAAACATCACAACTGGCCCAACCAGGATCTAGCACTTGTTTCGATATTTTCATATGTAAGTTCGTGTTTCAGTATAATATTAATTCATTACTGCATTTACTAATCCATTAATGTGCTAAAAAATACTCTTGGTGCAAAAGTGATACATAGGACATAATTAAAATCAAAAGTAGTGTTGAGAGTAACCATCCGGGGTACTTCTTACCCCTCTCCATCCATCTTGTACCACCAACAATCTCGAACGAGGGGTAGTAATGTAGAGGTAGCTGAGTAAACATCTAACTATAAGTCCATTCTCTTTTTCCCGAAACTTAGTTTATCTTATCACTCTATACATTCATTTTTTTACAATTACGAGATTCGTGCATAACTTTAACCATCATGGGTAGATAATCAATCTCGATTACATCAAACAAATAGTTTCATCATTGTTTAAGAACCGGATAATACCTTTTCATGTCTAAATTAACATAAGATAAAATTCCATAGACAACAATATGGCATTTACCAATTACCACTGACACAAATTATCTTCTTCGTCTTTTAATTTTAAACAGGCCGTTTCGACATTAATATAAGTAAGTAGAAAAAAGAAAGTTGACTGGAGACAAAAGTAGATTCGTTTATAAATAAAGTTAATTTGGCTTAGAGTTGAAGAGATAGTGCCAAAAAATGAATATCTTAGAACAAATTACTCTTTCCTAAGCTTTGTTGTGTTACAAAAATAGAAATGTTTGCTCTATGAGTAAAGTAATTGGTGGTCAATCTGCATGATTAATTTAGACGTTATCATTGAAGAATCTACCTTAAGTGTTAATCATACTAATAGAGTTGGTTGGTTATTAAAAGTGCCTACTCGTTCACATGCAACAAACCTTTCCATCAGTGTGATGTTGAGTCAAATTTGATTCATATGCACATAGTGTATATAGTATATATAGAAATTTTTCTATCCATATCTGTCAGGTTTTTAAGTTTAACATCTGCTCTATGCTATGCTACTTTTGTGTTTCAATCTATCTTATAGGCTGACAGCAAAAAATCTGATCCCATGAGGAGGATTGAGAAAGTTGATGAAATTCCTAGCGAATTCGAATGTTGCTTTTGCACCTCGAAGGTAGTATTGCTCTCTCTAATACTTCATTAAAAATGCTTTATTTCATCCAGCTTCAGCTTAGCAATTGTGCTTTAACTAATATAAAAAATTAAACACTTCAAATCTAATAAGAAATGTACTAAATATCCACTAATTCAGTGTATATAGAATTCATTGTGTCGATGTTTCAAAATTTTATAACGAACAGTGAATTACATTTCCAATTCATGTTTTCACCCACGCGTACATATGCAAATTAGGCTACATACAATTAACTTCTCTTATTGCACAACACTTTCTTCGAAAAATTTTTTACAGCAAGAGCGAAGTCGCTGTCATTTCATGATTGCATAATTCTTTTGCATGATGCGTCACTTGCATGAAAGACCTGCATGAAATTCGCATTTGTTTCGTCTGGCCTTTTGAATGTTTCTTTTTTTTAATAGAATTTAGAATAGACTTAAAGTATTGTACCCATATTAATTGTTGAAATTTTGTTGAATGACCTTTCATAATCTACTTGATGGAAATTCCAAAAATAGAAATTTAAACAATCAACCGACTAAATAGAACTGAAAATTATAAATCCTAATTTAATATCGATTGCTAAATCATTGTGAAATTAAATTTTATAGAATGCGGTAAAGGTAATCTAAATGTAAAAAAACCCGACGTACTTTTTATGATAACCACAGTACACACTTACACTGTTCAACAAAATTGATACAAGCGTTATATAATAAAAAAATAGTTTTGATACACATTAAATCATAGGCGCTGATCATGCAGTAGATGCAGTTGAGGCATACAAACCTGTATTATTTAGTTGATTTTTTTTGCTATTTTAGCAAGAAATTACAATTACTTTTTTGTTTCAAAGCAATGTTTTGTGAAAAGAAAGTATCTAAAAATGAGCAAAACGTATCCTTTTGTTCACCGTTCTTTGTGTAAAATATGTCCATAATAAGCACCTACAAAGTTTTTATCAAAGAAGGAATGCTTAAAGAATTACGGAAACGTTTACTCGTGAATGCCGTGATATCGATATAACCAACTAAATGTCACTGTGGTTGATTTTCAGATTTTTAAGAGAAGCCAGTCTTCAACGTGAAAGGAAAAATTTTAGTAAACACCTTCTTTAGTTATATAAATACAGCATTAAAGATCGTAATCAAAAAATATAAAGGGGCCTATCACAAACTCTTGTTACTGAACAGACGATCAATGCAGAAATGTGTACTAGAAACTTAAACAACAGCTGTCGAAATACTACGGTAAATTTAATATTTTCTTTAAATACAAATGTTTTCAGTATATTACACCTTCTGCATGTACTGTATTTATATTTTATGTTAAAAAAATAACAGTGTCCAAAAAAGGAAAAATACGAAAAAATATATACATGATGTAAATATTTATAGTTCTAAATTTTTTATTTGGAAAAATAAACTGGTGAAAGTCGAAACACGAATTTATTATTTATAAAAAAATATAATACACCTGTAATACTTTACAACGAATCTTTAGTTTTTTTCTTGTCTTTTTCATAAAAATTAATTTTGTTGCATAGTTATTTAGTTTCAAAAATAGGCCACTTCAAAACATATATTTTCAGGACTCTTGAAAAACATTTAAAAATGTCATCCAATTTTATTTCTGCAAAATCTGGTCTGTTTTGTGCATCTTTCATATCCTTGAGGATGATATCTAGATGACACTGAAAGATTTAAAACAGAAGCAACTGAACATAAATACTCGTAAAAATATCTCGAATAACGGTCGATTATTTTTAAAACTCTATTAATAATTTAATTTAAAGGTAATTTCGTTAATTAAATTTTAAGCTGTGTTTTGCAAGGTCTGTAAATACGCTTATCTCTTAAATTAGAATCCACTCTCGAAAAAATGGAAATGTAACAACGATGTAGCGGTACACGCAATAATAGTAATTAAACTGCTAAAAATTGCCTGGTTTTGTCCACACTATTTTGTTATTATATTTTGAAACTTCCGAATTTTGTAAAGTAATTGTAAAATTACCACTTAAAAATTGTATTCTAATTATTTAGGAATGCACAAAATTTAGATCCCAATATTTTTAATAAATAACAGACAAGTATGTCAAATTTTAATAGTTCCTCAATAAAATTTAGAGAATCTTATGTAAAATCATGTATATAGTTGTAACATAATATAAATATATTTCAGTTTAAATTTTAGAATATTTTCAAGATGAGTCAGTGAACAGAATACAAACAAATACATATGCCCATTTTTAGATAGTTTAAAATTTTCGACAAATACGTGCAGTAAAGCTTCTTAGTTCACTTGTTTAAAAGTAAGGTTTTGTTTGAATTAGTTGTCCTTTTAAATGCAACTTAGCTTCATATATTTTACGTTTCCTTGGCTAACATTAATTTCAATAAAGCTAACCTTCATCAAGGTAAGATGATAGTCCTTAAAGGTTATTAGATTAGAGCTAACACCAGTGACTAACTGATAGTAAATTCTATGTACTCTAGGTAATTAAAATTCAAATTTACAAAGTTTAGAGTTGTATACTTAAATCTAAACTAAACACCGGTAGGTAGGTATGAAAGTAATTCGTCTCATAAATTTCATGGCATGTTTTACAAGCCTTAACGATCTTATTCTGTAATGGTATAGCTCACAACGCTTATATTTTGCTGAATATTATGTAATAAACCTACATTTGAATAGTTAACAGCCAATTGCATGAATTTTCTCACTGTTAATCATTTGTCTACCAACCACTTATTTACAGAAATATAGATTGCTGCTACAAGGACAGACAGTAAAGAGTGGACTGGAAAAACTTTAGTGCACCTCAAAGTACGGTTGCTCTTAGTGCACGGATTAAGTTAAAATCTGAGCGAGTGATGGAAACGATGTGCATTTTCTTGATTGCTTTTAGTTATGAGGTCTAGACAATTCGTTGCTTTGAGAACGTTTTCAATGCACTTATTCTGTCTGGTTCGGCGCCTGTGGTTAAAATGACAATACTAACAACTGTAGAATACACATCTTCTCCCTTGATTTTTCACATCGTGTTTATTTGGTGTTTTACGTTCTTTCTTGTGTTGAGTGTGTGATTTAGTTGTTTTTTATTTGATTTTGTATAAAATCCGGTGACCCATGGGGGTCGAGATGAAAAATGGTCAATAAAATCACGGTTGTGAAATTGAGCCTGGTGCTGCGTTACAGGAATGTAAACCTGGAAGATGCCATGGAGAATGTATTCCACTTCACACCAAAAGCGTGTAGTGATGTTTCCATAGCCCCACTTTCATACTTGTACACAGGTGAGTTCACCTTACAGGCAGGTATCGTATCGCGGAACTGTTGATGATGCCAAATTCACCGGGTCATTCATCAAGTGTTGTCGGAAATTTAATTTGGACATCACTACCTGCTGAGTTGATTTGGTGGAGCTGTTTGAACGGATTATCAAGTTTTATATCTGATGATTCTCCGACACTATCTACACAAAATAAAGTTGACCGCACAGAAATGATCAGATATATTACTACGTATGGCAACAATACCATTTATACCACCCAAATCGATGCTTATTAAATTTCCTGTAAAATATACGTACAACTTTATTCATTTAACTTTTTAATACAATGCAGACAGAGAGATAGAGAGGTGTGAAATTTTAAGTTCTATATGTCACTAAAATTTTTTAATTAAAAATACAGAAAGTGTTCGGATTATGGTTTCACTTGTACTTTTATATATAAATTCTCGTTTGGTCCTTGCCGACTGCGTGAACTTATTATTGAAAACTTTTTTTTTAAATATACAAAAGCGCACTTAGCAGGATACTGCAGGTTTTCATTATAAAACTAATCTCTTACATACCTACACACACACACACACACACACAATAAAGAAATACAAATGTTATAAGTAAATCAAATTACTTTACCACTAAAATGGAGTTTTACGAAAAATTATGTAATTAAGGCTGTTGCTACGCTGGAATCGAAGGGGAACTAAGCTTACTGTGCTTAAACAATAAATAATAATTGTTGTTTTATTCTAAGCATATTGCTTGTTGAGAATGTTCCATGATTTTTAAAGAGGAAGGATTAAACTATCTTTACGAAGTAATAATAAATAAGTTGATCGAAATATTTGTGTACAATTTAATGCCAAGTTACAAAATAGTTGTACTTCAGAAAATTTTTTATTTACTATAAACGTTGTTTTATCCTTTCTACTTCAACATTATGTCAATCAATTTTACACGTAGTCACTACCAAGCATCATTTTATCATTGATTCGTAGCTTGTTTGCTTCATCGTAGCAGCAATCTTCATTTGTGAACAATTTTTATACTCTCGATTGATTCTTTCGGCTAGGCTATTTTATTCAGTTAGAAAGCTTGGCAATAAACATCATAGTTACAAATATGTACTGATATAAGATTCTGTCTAAAATTAATATTAGTATAAGTATTTTTAAAGCAAGTTTCTGGAAGTTAATAAACCCATAGGAACATTTTTACGTGGAATTTATCAATACTAATAACTTATACAAAGTAAATTTTTCATCTGTCATGATCCTATTAAGTGCAATTTCTCTTAGTTTGTCAAAATTTATGAAAACTTGATTAGTATGGATTAGTTATCTTATTTACTTATAACAAGTCAATCGCATTAAAGAAATCAAAAAGTTAGTTAGAATTGTACATTTATTATTTTCGTTACAGACGAATTGTATCTTTTCTTATGATGAGGGTTATCGGGTGATACCGTGGTCGTGGCGGTTATACTTTTGCACTTAGTAGTTTCATCTCGGTATCGACATCAGGGTCAACTTTACTTTCAAGTACAAAGAATCATTGTCTACCCCAAAGTCAACCAATTAAACATCACTCTTACACTATTATTATCAAAAAACTTGCCGTCTCCTATGTCATCATCTGCTTTAAGGGACTGATGCGTGAATCGATATACATATAGGTATATATGCATGTAGCTAAATTCATCAAT